TCTTGGAGATGTCTCATCTATAGGGTTGCCATGGGTTGAGACCAACTAAGGGCAGTTAACAACAACAAAAATGTTTGGCTGTAGACTGATAGGTGATATGATAATCAGCATAAAATATTTGAAGGGCTGTTGTGTGAAATATGAACCAAGGTTGTTTTCAGCTGCTCCAGAGGGTATGACCCAAATCAAAGGAATTCAGTTACAAGAAAAAAGATTCTGAATAAATTTTAGGAGGAATTTCCTGTTGCTAAGAGCTGTTCATCAGTGGAATGAACTACCTTGTAAGAAGATGAACTCTCTTTTGCTGGAGGTTTTTAAACAGAGGTTGGATGGACATCTGTTGGAGATGCTTTTATTGTGGATTCCTGGCAGGGGATTGTACTTGATGACTCTTGTTGTATTTTCCAACTCAGCAGTTATGTGATTCTGTGATTCTACATTCTACCAGACTTTGGGCTATTGGTTCACACATGAATGTTGTCACCTTGTACATCCAACTGTTATTGACCATCAACTACAAACATGAATTGACATATGCCATTAAAAGGTACTGCATTTCAGATGACACTGGGTAAGATGAGGGCCCTTCAGGGATCAAATATGCATGTGTGAACCATCCTAGAGTTCAGGAACAGCATTCATACTGGGTCATGCCATTACATGCTTTGAGCAGTGCATTTGACACTTGCCATTTATTTGTGCTGTTTTTAAAATCATTTTGAGCTGTCAGAAAGGTTGTTATTAGCCAAAACAGCACAGTATCCACACTGAATGCACATTCCCTTCTTAGACTTCTAATATTTTCAATTCTCTCCCCTGTTTCACATACTTTAGTCTAATCCTGGAGCAAGTCCAGAAGTCATGAAGGATAAGAGCAAGGGTGTTCCTTCCCACTCCACCTCACCACTACCTCAAAAAACAAAAACACCCTTTTTATCTTAAATGGTTTCCTTACTGTCTGCTTCAGCAAAGAAACTGTGAAACGAAAATCTTCCTTTAGGTATAAAAGAGGGAGGGACAATCCCAAAATGAGGATGTGAATTCTATGCAGGTTTTTCCCATTATGCATAACACATTTTTATAAGACAATATAAACTTTTTATAAGTCGATATTCCCTTTCCAATACAAGAGGGGTAAACCCAGAACCGGTTCACTGAAGTTTTCCAATTTTCTGTATTCAGGATTTTTTTTCCAAGTGTTAACCTTATACATGGATCTTGAAAAGAGAATGCACCCACAGGCCCTCCGTGTGGATCAGGACCTTTTCATTATCCTTTTAAAGAGTCATCTTATTCCAAACATTTGGCTTTTGTCTTTACTTTTGTATGGCACAAAAACATTGCTTTCTTTGGTTTGATCCCAATCACATGAAGCATTCGCATATGATGTCCCCACACATCCCTTCATCAACAGATGCTCCTTTGCTGATATTTGAGGCCAATGTGTGGATTTTGCTTGCATGGTTGGTGGAATGATATGGCCATAGCCAGAAGTTGTAGTCTTGCTCAAGCTCCAGATGTAGGACTAATGCAGGGAGAACATTTTCCAGAGTCTGGAAACATTGGCATTAGCACTAACATGTTACTGTTAAATCACTAAATCAATCTATTTTGTTGCTCTTAAACCAGTCAGCAATTTAATTTGTTACTTTGTTGCTTTAACTGTTAAAATATTCCATCATTATACTTTACAATATCACCTAGAACTGCTGAAAATGAACATAATGAAAACCATAGAAAAAGTGTTAAGAAATTTTAAATTTGTTGTTGATTTTTTTTTTAATAAACCAGGCTACCAAATTTTAATGAATTATTTTCAAGCAATATAATTTGCAAAGCAGGGCTTCCACTTTCTGAAAACTAGAATTTCCTTAAAATCCTTAAGAATGCAATCACCTGTGGATGCCTATTGAAGGGATATGCAGGAGAGGACTTTCTCTGACTTATTTCCCGATTGTGGATTACAGCCAGGCCTCCACATCTGCAGCTTTGACTTTTGCAGATTTTGTTATTCATGGATTTTATTAATGTATTCTCTCTAGTGGTCTCTAGGTCCTCCAATGTGACTCTGTGGTCAACATCTGTCAGAGGGCATGTAGAGATTTCTAGAGAGAACAGTTTGTCAGGCATTTGTAGGTCCTCCAGGACAATTCTGTGGTCAACTTCCAGATGTTGATCACAGACTTCCACTCAGTGACCTAGAGATTCCAAGAGAGGTGTTATTTCAGGTAAAAAAAATAGTGGGTTTTGTTTTATTAGAGAGCTCCCCTAACCCCAGTGAATGTAGAGAGCTCACTGTACTCTTTCAGAACTGAAATCATTTCTCATTCTCATTGCTTTCAGGGATAGAATACTTATTCATACTGGTCTGGTAGTTTGTTGTGGCCCCAGAGCTCTCTGATAGAGAAGGCTACAAGTCTCACAAAACCACAATTCCCAGAATTCCATAGCATTGAGCCATGGCAGTTAAAGCAGTGTCAAACTGAATGATTTCTGCACTGTGGATGCAGACTCAGAGAGCTAAAAACACTAGTACAAATAAAGGGACTGCAAAGTAATGCAGCAACCTAAAATCCCGTACCGGTCCTGCCTACCCAAGCTTGTCATTGGGCACTTCTAGTCAAGAAAGTTCATTAAAAAGCTGCCTTTAGAGGTTGCAGCCTTGCAGAGCAACAATTTCTCCCTCACTCTGGTCTATGTGTGTTTTTTGGCTTTCTTCCCCAGCTTTGACTCCAGTTCTGAGTCCTGGCCCCAACTCCTGGTTCCCAGCTCCTGGCTCACCTCTGCCAGCTGCCCATGCTCAGCCTTAACAGATAGCTGCACAAAATCTCCATATTAAGAAGCATTATACAAACATACTTTGAAGTCACAGAAGCCAAAATAAAAAATGTGGGAGAAATATTGCATGCCCTGGTGGTGTAAGCTTGGCTGGGCACTGAATGCTGGACTTCTGGAATGAGGTTGGCTCCAGAAAGGCAGTCTTTACATTATTGTAGCATTTTTCTGCCATGCACTCAGTATGGTGGTGTGTGATACACACCACAACTACCTTCTTCTGGTTGGAGAACTCAAGACTTTGCTGCAAACAGACACCCCCTAAAAATAGAATGAGTGAATGAAGAAGTGACAACAGACAAAACCTATGGAACTATATATGATGAAAACTCTTCTTCAGGCCATTCTGGGAGAGCCTGGGCATGTATTTCCAGACAAAGGGCTGCTTAGGCTGGGATTTAAAAAGTCTTCTCTGTCTGCTCCATCTTTTTTTTCTTTCTTTTTAACAGATTTTCCATGGTAAGAAAGAAAGAAAAAACAACCAGAAGAAATGGTGGAAAAGAAGGGAGAGTTACAAGCAGAGGACAACTTGTAAAATGCCATAAAATTCAAGGAATGAGACAGGATAATGGCATGATAAAAAGCCTACTCTGGAACAGCTTTCCGTTTCTTCCCAAGACAATCTGCTGCTCTTGGGGATTGTGAAAGAAAAAGACTGGCCCAAGACATCTGTTCTCTCCACATTATAAGACCAAAGGGATCAGCAAGAGAATCTTACAGACTCTATCTCTGATTTGAGATGTGTACAGTTCTCAAATCCAGATTTGGAGGCTTGTTCTTTTTCCCACCTTCGAATCCAATCTGTGCCTGCTTCATTCCAGGCATTATGTTTTTTTATGGGAGGAGACCCAACTTCCCCCCCCCCCCCCCCCTGCACCTAAAAAAAAGCTGCATACAAATCATACACATGGCTTGCATGCATTCCCATCCTTGACTTAAGCATATGTGGGCTGTGTTTTTAATAAACAGTTGAAAACCATACTTCTCTTTTCTGTCCACACTTCTCAAAGGTCTGCTGTCTGCAAAAGTACAGATTCAGAAATGCAAAATTAATCTGGTCCATTTCCAGGGAGTGAAGCATAGGAAAAGTCTGTTTAAAAAGTCCATGACAAGAGATTCCCCACACATCCTTAAATCTGATGCTTTCTATGGAGAGTGTTAGTTCCCTAGAATGCTTGTAAAGATTTGTTAACCAGCTAAAAGAGAGAAACTAGAAAGAGGGATATAACTGGTATTGTCTCACTCCACCATACTTCATTAGTGATCACTATTCTGATAATTATTACTGTCATTAAGAAGGCTAGGAAACATTTGGTCCTTCAGATGTTTTCAGCCACAACTCCCACAATCTCTTATTATTATCCACCTTGGGAAGAGCTGATGTGAATTGTAGTCAAAGCATCCAGAAGGCTTAAAGTCCACCCCTGTTGTGTAAGCTGTGATAACAATAAAAACATAGACGCTACTGTCACACTGCAGAATTAATACAGTTTGACACTGCTTTAACTGTCATGGCTCCATCCTGTGGAATTCCTGGGATTTGTAGTTTGTTTTGGCAACAGAGCTTTCTGACAGAGAAGGCTAATTAGCTCACAAATCCCAGAATTCCATAGCAGTGAGCCATAGCAGTTAAAGCAGTGTCAAACAGCATTAATTGTACAGTGGAGATGTAGCCAGACTCTCCCAGGGTGATAGGAGCTACATAAGGAAACCTTTCTCTAGTAGCTTTAGTTGTACCCTAATTTTTTCTTCCTATTAAGTTGTCCTAATTTTTTCTTTTATGGGTTTCTCCATCACTAGAATATTATTATTATTATTATTATTATTTGGACACATCATGAGAAGGCATGAATCATTGGAAAAGACAATAATGTTAGGAAAAGTGGAGGAAAGTAGAAAGGGAGGAAGGGCACATGCTAGATGGATGGACTTTATTAAAGAGAGTGCAAATAAGAGTTTGCAGGAGCTGGGCAGAGCAGTAGAGGGCAGGGGGGCCTGGAGATGTCTCATCCATAGGGTTGCCAGGGTCGAGATCGATGCAAAGGCAGTTAACAACAACAAAGAAACCATATATTTTTTTCAAAAATTAAACTCACAGTTATGCAAGTTCAATGTTTCTTCTTCTTCTTCTGTGCCTTTAAGTTGTTTCTGACTTATGGTGACCCTAAGAGGTGGCATAGTGGCTTGAGTGCTGTACTGTGACTCTAGAGACCAGGGTCCGATTCCCTGCTCCGCCATGAAACTCACCAGTCTCAGGGGAAGGCAATAGCAAACCACCTCTGAACAAATCTTGCCAAGAAAACCTCATGATAGGGTCATCTTAGGGTTGCCATAAGTTAAAAATGACTTAAAGGCACACAACAACAAATGGTTTTATCAGCAAGATTTATTCAGAGAGGGTTTGCCTTTGCCTTCCTCTGATGCTGAGAGAGTGTGACTTGCCCAAAAATCACTGAGTGGGTCCCCATGGCCTATCAGGGATTTGAACCTTGGTCTCTCAAACTCCTAGTACAACACTCTAACCAGTACACCACACTGGCTCTCATTGAATGTCACTGCTTCCTACTATTGTTGCTTCTTTGACATCATTAATCTTGGTTGTTTTATTTTACTTTTTCCTGAAGGTGCCATGTGGGTGACCCTACCAAATCAGGGTTTGCATCATAAAAGGATGATGTCTCAAAACTAGGTCATCCAATCTGTCTGCCTGATGGCATCACTTGGGGGACAGTGAGGACAATTCAGATCCATTACACATCATGAGAAGAGAAGACTCATTGGAAAAGACAATGATGCCAGGAAAGGTGAAGGAAAGTAGGAATAGAGGAAGGCCATGTGCCAGATAGATGGAGTCTATTAAGGAGGTCATGGGTATGGCTTTGCAGGATTTAAGCAGAGCAGCGGAAGACAGGGGGTCTTGGTGAGGTCTCATCCATAGGGTCCCCATGGGTCGAGATCAGCTTGAGGGCAGTTAACAACGACAACAGATCCCGTACTCTCCAAGTGTCCCAATTTGGCAAAGACAGCCCTGATTAATCTTTTGTTGTCCCACTTTTTCCAGGTGCTTTTAAAATGTCCTGCTTTCTCTCTCCTCCTCCCACTTGACCCCTTTGTCCACAGCTTGCTTCAACAGTTGCACAATGAGTTCAAAATGCAAAAGTAGTTTGCGCTCAATTAACTCAGTAGAAAGGAGAATGGAGGAGGTAGAATTTTGCTCTTCCCAGAAAGTTCAGACAAAAGCAAACTGCTGTAGCCTCTCCAAGCTTGCATGCTCTTCCTCACTGATACCTATTGCCATGTTGACCATGCTCTGATGTTGCTTGATCATATGTGTCCTGGTTTTCATTTATGAAATGCTGGAGGGTATGTTATGATGCCATTCCTGGGTGGACAGACTATCACTTTCCAGTATTACTGACACTTTTCCCAAGCAATATCAAGGAATATTTTTGATTCTGTAGCATCTCCATGTTATTATGCATGGGACTAGGCTGTAGGAGGTCTTTCATTACGTCTTGCAGGTTATCAAATCATCCTATTTGTATGCCAAGAAAACCCCATGATAAGTCGGAAATGACTTGAAGGAACACAACAACAAGAATAACACAACTGCTTAAAAAGCCCCAAATTCAAGGGCAATTCTCTCCCCCACCAGCAAAACCCTATTCATGTTTTTTTCTCCTTCTCCTGCAAGTATTTTGCTGAAATAAGAATTCCTCCCTGAACTTGCTATTATTTGCTGAGGAAGTAGAAAACTAACTTTCACTAGTAATCATGTATGGTATATTACCCCAAAAAAACAAAAGAGATCTGGGAGGCGGGGAGAAGCTGGCAGTACCAGGACTTCAATGATCCTTTAGCATCTAAAGAAATGACAAGGGAGGAAGTTTTAATATAGATGAGGGGGGTTTTTTATTTGCATTTCTTAACAATAAGGGTGGTTTATACTCCACCTGGTGTCTTTTCTCACATCACCTTTTATGAGCTTCTCTCCCTGACAAGTATCTTTGTACCAAGGGTTCCCTCTCCCTCCCTCTTTCCCCTCTTTTTCTAACTCTTTACCAGGCTTCAGTATACAAACACAAAGGGATCATTGAAAGAAGCACAGTAGGACACCTCCTTTGATCTTATGTTCTAATAACTTGTGTTATGTTTGTGTCCAAAAACAATGCTCGGAGGGTGTTTTCTTCCCTCCTGAACTGCTTCCTCCTTGCCTCTGCCACCACTACAAGGAAAGCAATTTTTCAACACAGGGCAAGTGTTAAACGTTTAATTTTATTTTATTTTTGCCAAGGAAAAACCCCTCTCTGGCGTGTGCATGTGTGTTTAAGTGCAAAAGAGCTGTGGAAGAAAGACAGAGCTGGGAAGTCATTGGTTGCCACTAATACCTAACTCTTAATTAAGAACAAATGTATTGATTGATTGATTGATTGACTGATACAATTAATACGCTGCCTTTTCCTCAATCTGGGATGTAAGGTGGCACACAATATGAGTTAAAACAAAATGCAGTTAAAACCATGCATATTTACATAAGTTTTATTTTAAAAGCAATCATATGAAACAGTCATATCACAGAGCTGGGAAGTCATTGGTTGCCACCAATACCTAATTATTAATTAAGAACAAATTATTAATTGACTGATTGATTGATTGATTCAATTAATACGCTGCCTTTTCCTCAATCTGGGATGTAAGGTGGCACACAATAATGTTATAATACATTGAATATGAAGACAAAAAAGAGTAAATTGAAAAATAGTTGATGACAAACTGGAGATTCAATGGAAGTCAATTGTATATAATGTGAATATATATTGAAAATGATATGAACATTTCATTATGATAGTTGTGAAAAAAATGTATCTTTAATAAATTTCAATATAAAATATAAAAATAAAAAAATAAAAAATAAACAAAATGCAGTTAAAACCATTCATATTTACATAAGTTTTATTTTAAAAGCAATCATATGAAACAATCATATCACAGAGCTGGTAAGTCACTGGTTGCCACAAATACCTAACTCTTAATTAAGAACAAATGTATTAATTGATTGATTCAATTAATACGCTGCCTTTTCCCCAATCCGGGATGTAAGGTGGCACACAATACGAGTTAAAAAAAATGCAGTTAAAACCATGCATATTTACATAAATTTGTTTTAAAAGCAATCATATGAAACAATCATATCACAGTGCTGGGAAGTCATTGGTTGCCACCAATGTCTACACTCCTAATAAGAACAAATCTATTAATTGATTGATTGATTGATTCAGTTAACATGCTGCCTTTCCCCCAATATGGGATGTAAAGTGGCTCACAATATGAGTTAAAACTGTTTTAACAATCTTGCTGTTGTAGTATTCAATTCAATATATATATATATAAAGTATATATATACTATATATATATATATATATATATATATATATATAGTATTCAATTCAATATATATATATAAATGCAACTACCCTATTTACTTTCCAATTATAAAAAAGTAAAACATTGCTTTTAAAATATAGTAATTAACTGCTTTGGAAATATGTATATGTGTGTGGGGGGCTTCAAGTTGTCCATTGATTTATGGCAACCCCATGAATTTCATTGGGTTTTCATAGGCAAGGAATACTCAGAGGTAGTTTTTGCCAGTTCCTTCTTCTGAAACAGGACCTGGTTTTCATTGGCAGACTCCCACTCAAGTACTAACCAGGGCAGACCCAGCTTACCTTCCAAGATCAGATGGGATCCGGTGCCTTTAGGATATTTATACCTGCAACTAATTACTTTGAAAGTAACTTTCCATGCTTTGGGGAACTACTGATTGCTTTGATGACATCCTCAGATTGTCAGCAGTAACTGTAGCTAATTACTTGTAAAACATTGATCTAAGTGTTGAACTGTAAGAACTGCTGTGATGACATCCCCAGACTGACAGCATGCACAGGATTAGCATTTCCCATTTTATGGCAGTGGATTCATTTAGTGATCAACACATGGAAACAGTTCCAAATGCCAATAGTAAAGATTGCCTTTAGTTCACAAATTCAACTGTAGGAAACATATTCAGGGCTAGCCATGTTGACATACAGCAAAATAAAACAAAATACAAAATCCACAAAGTGACACTGATTTCAAAACAAAGATGCGGTGGATGATCTTTTTTCCCCGTTTCCTTTCCATGGGCTGTTGCCAAACTGCAGAATTAATTCAGTTTGATACTGCTTTAACTAGCATGGCTCCATCCTATGGAATCCTTGGAACTGTAGCTTGTTGTGGCATCAGAGTTCTCTGACAGAGAAGGGTAGATATCTCACAAAACTACAAATCCCAGAATTCCAAAGCATGGAACTACGGCAGTTAAAATGGTGTCAAACTGCATTATTTCTGCAGTGTCGATACAGCTTGTGTGATCCAAGCAATTTTGTCTGTGCTCATCCCTTTCTATGAAAATTTTTGCTGTTCACCAGCAACAGTCACAGACAGCTGGCTTTCAGTGCAAGAGCTGTCCAGCTTTGTGTTTACCCATAAAGCAATGTGAATTTCTCGCACAATGCAATGAGAATTCCAAATAGGTCAAAAAGGTGATTAGAGGACAGCTAGGACAAGTGTTCAGTGTCTGCTACTGGTCACCAAAAAGTTTAAAAATGTGGGGTTGAAGGGAAGGAGGACATCCATCACCATCATGTGGCCAATCCAGAGCCCCACACTTGCTTGCTGATGTTAGATGCAATGGTCGAAGATGCCCCATTGGCAGTGCTGAACTAGGACTCATCTGTCCATTGTGTTGGCTTCTGTGGGTGGAACTGAGCAAGCACCATCTTGTGGTTCACCTCTGTCAGCAAAAAACATCTTGGGCCTATCTTGCCACCCACTTCCATGCCAACACTGGGCACACCTAGAGAAAAGCACCAGTAGATAACCTTAAGTTGATACCAATGTCATTGTCCATTGTTGGGACTAAGTTGATACGATGTCATTGTCCATTGTTGGGACTAAGGTTGCTAAATATTCATGTTCTGCTGTCTCACACCCAGTCCATCTGAGGACAGCCATACTGAAATCCTTAATGAAATGGGGAGGAAGTTTTATGGGAAGATTCTGTCCATACTTCAACCTCCTTGAATTCTCCACCAGTTAAAAAAAAGGGATATACCTTTGTCCACTGTCATGTTTCCTGTTTCCACTTGGAGAATACAGTAACTCAATATAAGACGACTCCATCTCTCTCTGATTTTGTGCATGCTAGAGGCAGCATGGTGTAGTGGTTTGCGTCTTGGACTGTGATTCTGGAGACTGGGTTTCGAATCCCTGCTCAGCCATGAAAACTCACTTGGTGACCTTAGGCAAGTCATGCTCTCTCAGCCTCAAGGAAGGCAAAGGCAAGCCCCCTCAGAACAAATCATGCCAAGAAAACCTTGCAATAAGCTTAGGGTCATCATAAGTTGGAAGTGACCTGAAGGGACAAAACAACAACCTAAACACAAATAGGCAAAACAGCTTGAGCAATAACAACGTCATTACACAACATCAAACTGGAGTTGCATGATAATTAGCATCCTCATTTGACATTGTACACCATATAACAAGGTTGCACAAACCCAGACTTTATTTGACTTCTCTTTCACTTTTTAGAAGTTAAAATAACCTCTGCTTTGAAGCCTTTCCCTCTCTCTCATTACAACAGAGCTTGTTGGAACTGGCCTCTTGTATTAAAAAGCAAGTCTTTACTTTCTTCTCTGAATTCTGTAGAGATTCCAAGCCTAGAATGAATATCTGACCTCACACATAAATCCCGCTGCCAAAAAAACTATCCCAGACTTTAGCCAAGTTGACAATAGATGCCCTGTCAATTCTTCTTGTTTCTAAGAGAGACCCAATTTGATTGCAATAGAGTCTGCTGGTTTTTCTCCAGAAAGAAATGGCATCTTTCCCCATAAAAAAAAGCCTTTAGATTTAGATTTAGACTTTTCAACCATCTCAGCAGGAACAAAGCAGGCACACGCACACACACCATACTGGAAACCAGAAGGCAGTGCTCTTCATTCAAAATTATGTAGCCAAGTTGACCCAAGAGGCTCTCAGAATTGAAAAATGAACTGAAATCCAGAACACAAGATGTGTGTAATACAATACCAATAAAGGGAAAACAGATATAATTTTTCTTCCTTTCTTCCTTTCTTCCTTTCACAACTTTGAACAGGATGTGGAATTGATACCCATACTCTAAGCTGGAAAATAAAAATACTGTACTATAATAAAAAAAAAAAAGTCCAGCAGATTACAGAGAGAACTAGAATAGTTAAAGTGGGGTAAATTTGTTGTTAACTGCCCTCAAGTTGACCACAATTCATGGGAATCCTAGGGAGGAGACCATCTATCATCCACTGCTCTGTTTAGATCTTGCAGATTCAGGCCTGTGACCTCCTTGATTGAGTCTATCCATCTGCCATGCAGTTGGCCTCTCTTTCTGTTACCTTCTACCATTCCTAGCAATATTGTCTTTTTAGTGAGACATGCCTTCCTATGAAGTGTCCAAAGTATGACAACCTCAGTTTTGTCATCTTGGCTTCCAGGTAGAGTTCTGGCTTGATCTGTTCAATGACCCATTTGTTTGTTCTTTTGGCCATCCATGGTATTCTGTGTTCTTCTCCAACACCACATCTCAAATGAGTTGATTTTCTTCCTAACCACTTTCTTTATTGTCCAGCTCTCACATGGTAAATGCATCTGAGGAAGTAGACAAGTCTCCAAAAGTTCATGCTGCCAGCTTCTTTCTTTAGTTAGTCTCAAAGGTGCTACAAGA